GCCCCTTTTTCTTTAACTTGTTTCCCTTGAGCTAGTATGTAATTGGTTTCTGAGTAACCTGAACAACCTTGCCTGGAACACCTTTCTAGATGTATTCCTCCTTTGGGGGTAGGGGACAGAGTAGTTTATATTAAATCTCAGTACAAAAAGTAGAAAGTAATTACGACTCCTCAAAAACCAGAAATCAAAACATAACATTAAATGTATATTAGAAAAAGATACAATGTTGAGATTGTTACAGTTTTACTCTATAAATGCAAGTGTACCCAAACTTCAGCTGTTAGACATGGCTTTTGGCAGCCTTTTATATCCCCAAATGGAGCACGCTGTCCTTGCCCAGAAAAAATAGCTCAAGGTTAAGGAAACTCTTTGAACTTCACACAGTCTGCACACCCCTCAGGAAAAATAGGAGCCTTGACTCCTGCTTCTCTTCCTGAGATCAGTGTCAATTTGTTGCCAGAGCTTGCAGAAAAACACTGGATGCGACTTAGTGGGAGAACTTGCTACCTCAATTTTACTATCAGTTTTCTCTATATGCCACATACACATGTACCTGAACTGCAAGGGTTCATCTACGCTAACATCAAATTTAGAAGCATTTTTGCTGCTGCTGCTGCAAACTCAAAATGAGAAAATTCATAAGAACTGTAATAAACAATGTATTCACATGCAAATGTGAATGTATGTGGAAAATATGTATAATTAAGCACTAAAACCAGATACCTAACAAACTGGAAAATTTCTGTGCAGAAGAAATGATCAACCTGATCAACCAAATGTTAAATACTAGAAGAAATAACTCTGCTGAAAAGATTAGCAGTGACCATGGACATTAATAAAAGTAAAAAATATCCTTAAAGATACCTTTTATTCGCTTCATTAATGTCATAGCAAAATTCCCAATCAACTCTAACCACAATTAGAAAAACATAGCACTTCTGTACAGCTACATCTACACAAACATTTCAATCCAAAGTATTTTCCTTACAATTCTGTTGTCGTGAAGTAGGTGTTATTTAAAAGTTTTCTTCCAGTTTCTATTGCTACGATTTCTGAGAGGTATAAGCAGAAACAGAAAATCTGGATTTTTTTTCACTGAGGTGGAAAAGGGATAGTCACTTCATATTTTATTAACTGACAAAAACTTACTTGAAGTGTGTTTACGTCATTCCATAAAGGTCTTCAGCACAGCAGCAGTCCAAATTATTTAACTGCAGCTGGCTGTGTTTGTCTGTTTTACCTTTCTCTTCAGCAAAAAATGAAAGACATGGTGACAATTACTTTCATGACAGTAACCACTGTGTACCTCTAAGTGAGATATTTTTGTATTTATTACACTAATCATTTTATGAATTTACATTTCCAAATAGTACACTGTGAACTGGATGTCAATTCAAGGTTACCTTGCTTTCATATTTCATGAGAAAATCATGGATTTTCAGATCAAGAGTTGGCAGACGCAACTGGTATCACTTGTGAAATCATTCTAATAGAAAAGGTATTGAACTGAAATCCTGAAGTTTCTCTTCTTAAAGCGAGCTACGGGATGACAAAAACTAAATAATAAAATAAATTTTAATAATAGTCAGTAGTGTAATTTTATACTAAAATGGAAGATATTACAGGAATATTCAAAAAAGCGATAGTATTGAAGCTTTCATATGTAGGGCATCCATTCAATTGCAATTCAATATTCTGGTCATACATTCCCCTGAAGTATCCACCAGAATATATTTACTCTCAGAAGAAGGGTGTCCACCTCCCTGTCTTGAATCCTCTTCCCTTTTTGCTGTTTAGTGCTCGGGATTGGTTCGTTATCATTTTCTCACTCTGGAACTAGGACTACCACAGACATTAAAGATGAAGCATTCTACTGGTCCCATCAAGAGCTGAGCATTTGTACTTTTTTCTTTTTAAAAAACTTGATGATGAAGTAGGAAATGTCTTTTTTGAAGCAAAACTGTTTAATTCAGCATATGAAACAATGGCATCAAAGAAAAAATATTTTAAAGCAATTTAGAAAAATTTAATGCCTGTTTAGCTTCATCTAACCAACTATACTTAACATACACTATCAAAATTAAACTAAGAGTTCTTAAATTACATGGACATACAGAAAACAGCAATTTACTTTAGTTTCACTTCACTTGTTAGAATATAATTTTTAGACAATTCCAGGAAGCTGGAATCTCAAATAAATGAAAACCAAGTATATTATGCCTTTGCATTTTAACTGTCGTATTATCCTGTGGTGTCTTAAACAGAAATTTGTTTTATTTGCAGTATTTTTTTTTCCACCACCAATTTCTCCAGGGAGCTGGCCTGAATCTCTAGGATATTTGGACATGCTGTCTTTACAGCACTTTTTTCATTGTTTTAGAGTTAGAACTCTCCAAGTAAACAACCTCATTAGCCTTGAGACCATCTCCTTTGTATGTTTCATGTTCCCCTCTGCAAGTTTACATTGTGTTCAATAAACCACTTACAAGGTACAGATGAACTGCCACTGTCAAACCCTGTAGCATTTGTCACAGTGCTCAAGCACAAAATAATTAGGTGTGAAGAGAGCACTTCAGCTCATTTCTCTGGGTTTCAGAGAACCCTGTTAAAGTTCTGTACTGCAAACTGTGCTGATATTATAAAAGATGTATATAAATCCTGAAGATGGTATCACATCACATACAACAGATGCTTCACAGCACAGGTGACAGAGATAGATCTAATGGAGGCAAGATAACACCAGAACTGAAAATGGTACAATCATATTAGACAGCTAGAGCTTACTGCTAAGATGGCTAAACTATCACCTCTATTATACAAGCCAGCTGTAGTGCCTTGGTACAGTTTTTCAGAAGACATCCAAAATGACAGCTTGGTAAAACTGGTGTAACAGTAATTCTTAGCTCTCATGGCTGTACTTTCCTTTACATGGTGTGCTTTTTGGAGCAGATTTTCTGCTTTAAAATATAGATGCATTGTCTATTATAGCATGGACCTGAGTGTGGTTAGGAAAGTACATAAAACGGCGACACAAACTTGCAAGATGCAGTGTTCAAAGTGAGTCAGATCTCCCCTAACAGGGCAAAGTAAGAACAGGATTCAAATATCATTAGCCTTATTAGGCAATACCATTACAGAAAATGCCAGTTCTGTTTTTACTTTACCATAAAACTGAAAATATTTAATTGAATAAAATAGAAGCTCTCACTAGATGGTAGCTGAAACACATTCACAACAACTTTTCAAGATATGAAGCCCAGCTACACTCACAGCTTAGTTTGAGAAAAGTTCGACCATACAAAGCATCATCTCAAAATCCAGTCATTCCTGCTCAAAATACTTAGAGCCTTGCTTTTGAATTTCACAGTAAGATTTCATTTTGTTTTCTGTGAAGGGAGATCACGACTTCTATGAGCTACGATGTATTGTCCTGTTTATTCCACTTCTAGGTTATAGTGTCTGTTGTATACATAGCTCTCCACATGAGTTTATGTCAGGCTTCAGAAAAAATAAGTATTGTATAAAATCAACCTAGTACCTGACTATTACTCCTTTTTAATTTCTGTTTTTCCATTTATATTTGAAGCTTATACCCAGTCTTTTGTGTGCTATCTTGGCAATTAACTCTAAATTACTCTGTTACAAGTCTCCTACAAAACCCCAGCCACATATTTATATTTTTTTAATATGCGAAGTTCAAAGTGTGCAATTCCTACAGTAGTCATAATGATTATTAAAAATTAATACACTCATTCTAGCATTTAGTAGGCAATAATTTACTAAAATGTGCTAATGCAATCACTGGCCATACCCCTTTTCTTGTAGTGCAGGGTCTTTGGAGGAAGGACTTTCTTTGCCTGCAGAGAGCTTGGCAGACAAACATTGCAGAACGCTGAACTCTAAGGTTTGGATTCTTTAGTAAGACAACAGTACAAGGCAGTTAAAGGTAATAAACATCTGGATAACTGCAAACAAATGAACATGAAACCTTTTGTATCTATGACCAGTTTGGACACCAAACACTAAGATATAGGTGTAAGATACAGGACAGAAAAGCATATTTCTATTTAGTTATTTACTGTATATAATGCCTTTATATTATCATATATGAATATATTTTTAGCAGATGAAAATAAACTTTAAGGACTAGTATAGAGAGAGTGCTCAAGGAAGTGCAAAGCTTGAGAGAGGTACAGTCAGTATCAGACAATGATATCACTGTCTTAGAAGAAAAGGAAAAATAGAGGAGAAGCCTTCTGTCCATCCAGTGGGTATTGTTTCTATATAATCCAATGGAAAGACTAGAGCTGAGATTTTTAGGTGTGAAACAGGTTTTGAGCATGAAGATCAACAACTTGTACAACTAGTATTTACATCTTCAATCTTCATTACTAAAAGGATAGCACTGTTGCTTACTAAGACATCCTATCATCTTTGGTGACTACCATTTTTCTTGGAGAAGGGAACTTTTTTTCTTTCTCCACAATGCTACAATTAATTTAATCACAGTGCAGAAAAAAAGAATTGAATATCCTCTGGGCTAAAGAAAGAGACTTTTTTCTTCCCTCTTTTATTTCTTTCCCTTTTTGTCCCTATCTTTCCTATTTAAAAAGTTTGCTTCAAGAATTAAACTTTACATTATGTTTTTAATTCTACCTGCATTTCAGCATCTCCAGCTGGATTAAATTCAACAGTATAATGCTACAATTCAACAATGTATGACAGAAGTTCACATGAATTCGTGTCCAATAATGATTAAATCTTACTCTGTTCACTCTTCCAAGCTTCTCAGCTGTCTCAGAGTAAAAACCTAGCGGTTCAGGGCCACGTGTTCAGGACTTTGTAAGTACAGAATTTTACAGTATAAGCACTTAAAAATCAATCAAAGCAAACAACAAGAACAAAACAAGGGTGGTCTTACTCTAGCATTTTGAAGCACAAAATGGGAAAAGAACTTACAGAACTTATACCCACCATGCTTTTATTATTCACTTGCTTACCGTGTTAGTTGAGTTTCCATTTAAATGTAAGCCACTGTCAAAGAGAGGTGATGAAGTTCCACTGCTGTGATCACTGGATGGTCCAGGGGAACCTGGAAATCAGACCAAGAAAAATAACTGTTGATGTGAAAAAAAAAATGCATATATCAGACAATATCTACTCAGCTGTAGAACACTGGAAGAATTTTTAATATAATTCACCAAACCGAGACAGAAATACTATGTGTATTTTAGAAAGAGAGACAATTAAATATCCATATGCTATACTTAATGTCTAGAGAGAAAAAAGATATCTAGATGCCATCTGAGAGGGGCTGTGCTCATGAGATCTATTTTTATGTTTAACTGTTTGCAGGATTAAGTCTTTTTTCACTGAGAATGATATATTCAAAACCAAGTAACAAGTTCAGTTACACAAAATGCATTTATTAATTTAAAGACAAATTTTCTATCAGTTCTTGGAAGTCTCACCTTAGAGTATAACCATGGACTGAATTTATAAACAAAGAGAATAGGAAACTCTCAGGCAAGTAACTGGACACATACATACACTTTATTACTGGATATATCTTTTCCTTAAAATGCCCATTATTTTTAAAAAATTGTCAAATTCAGAAATTGAAAGCAAAGAATCACCCTGAACTGTTGATACTATGTCAATATGGTAAGACTACACAGTTACAGTCTTTAAAACCTCTCCTTTTAGCAGTTATGTATTATGATCCTACTTTAGTAGTTAAAAGTGAATCCAGGAAAGCTTAATACTTTTGCAAAATATAATAATGGAAACAGCACAAAGTCACATCATTTTATAATTTCTGCTTAAATGTAAGATGTTAACAAATAGCACTAATAATATACAATTACTGTCAGAAAGCACTTGGTCTTATCAGTAATTCACATAAAATCAATTGCACAGCACTATACTCATCATCACTGAAAACTCATTTATCCATCTGAAGAATTCACCTGAAATTGCCTGTAAACCATCTCACATTAATAAGTTAGTCAAGCCTAACATCACGGAAGTCAAAAAGCCATTCTTAGTTATATATTTTTGTATGTATCTTTTCCATATATCTCGAAGATTTAGTAAAACAGAACTTAATTCCAGAAAAGCCATTTTCTCCATTACGGATCTGTCAGTTTAACGCTGAGGTCTCAGAATTACAGCCTGAATTCTGGAGTTTCACCATGTTTTTGTTTGGAGTCCTTTCTGTATGGTACTAGGTCATGTCAGCAGGAGGCATTATGCTTTGCTCCTGCTCCTATGGGACTATACCACCACAGACTCTAGTAACTACAATGTTTTGTAGCTACTATATATGTACAGCAGCCACAAGAATTTATGTTTATAGCCATAGACAACTACAGTGACTTAATGGAACAGAAGAAAATTTCTAATTTTTTTAATTAAAAAAAAATCAAAAATCCAAAAACTTGGCATTAAATTCTCCACTGAAGAGTCTGCCCACTGGGAAATCTGACTGTCTCCAGCAGTAGACAACTATCACAGGTTCATGAATCAATCAGATTCTGAAAGTGGACATATCCCACCTATTCAGTAATTTATCCCACCTATTCAGCAATTTGAGCATACCAAAAGACATGAGTTCAGGTATTTACAAATCTTTAAATCCAACTTTTACCATAAGACAGAATACTACATTAGAATAATTGATTATTTTTAAGTAGAGAGAATTTACATCCATCTCATGGGAAAGCTAGGAATAAAAGGTTAAGAAAGAAATTTCCCTCCTCTACAGTGTCTCAGCAGATTTACGTTCCAGCAGCTTTCTTCCATTTTCTGTGTGTTCCTAGCTACGCAGCCTGTCACAGGCCAAGCCACCTCCATCACTTGACTGCAAACAAGTTCACAAGTATTTTAGTTTCTTCCCTGCTGTCTCTGCCTCACTTACTCATAGACTACTCTGTCATGGCCTCATTCATCATTTTAGAAGTTCCCACTGTAAATGCTCAGCTGCTTTCATTGAAAGTGCAGTGCTCTCATCTCTCCAAGGAACTCTGCCTTCCCACACGGCAGCCCTAGAGCAATCAGGGCTGTTCCTCCCTGCTCTTAGGACAAAACACAGTATGATCCTACTATCTGCTACCGCAGCCCTTGCTTAAGTAGATGAAACTCCAAATCAAGTGTAAGGTACTAGTGCAAACTCTGGAGCCTTACTGCAAGAAAGACTATCAAAATGCTTTCGCTAAACAAAATATCTGCTACAGATAACTTACCACTCCCTGGCCATAATCACAGAAATCACAGAATATTCCAAGTTAGAAGGGATCCACAAGGATCTCTGAGTCCAACTCTCAAGTGAATGGCCTGTACAGGGAGCAAACCCACAACCTTGATGTTATTAGCACCATGCTCTGACCAGCAGAGCTACAGCATTCTGTTGGGTACTGATGCCATGAAAAAAGGCATTTTTGATGTTGTGAAGTTTCCAGCAATTGTTACTGTCTCAATGTGTGATCCCATCCAAACCATAGACAATCAGCCTAAGAGAAATACAAACATACCCTATGACAAGCATCATCTGTTAATTCGCTTATTCTCAGCTTTGGCATTCTTGCTCTTTTGGGAAGGTGGGGTTAGCAAGGAGCCCGTGGGAGAGGAAAAGATCTCTGCCCGATCTTTACCTGAGCAATAGGTGTGTATGCTCAGAGGAAAAAGAAAACCACAACATACCCTGTGAAATAAGAAGGGGTGAGAGAGATGTAGAGATGGCAAGGACATGAGTCTGCAGTTCACAGAGGAAACTGAAATACCTTTTTGGATAGCACAAAAAAAACAGGCAGAACTCTGAGGTGAGAGAAATAAACTTTTTAAGCATCACACATGGTTTTGGAGAGCCAGCAGTAACTCAAGAAATCAGCAAGTTAGCTGACATTAAACCTAACACAAGAACTCATTTGCAGTGGTACAGGTAAGAGTTATTTATAAGTACTTTTATAACAGTTTTGCCAAATTTTTCAATTTAAAACATCAGTTATTTTACTATTTATTTTAATAAATCCTAGATTTTATTTTTAACTTTAAAAGCCTTATACTTTCTAGACCTAGAAAAGTCTCTACTAAAGTTCTGGATTTCAACAGTTCCATCAACAGGAAGTAGTTTACTTCAGTCAGTGAGTTACACTAAATCTCTAAATAACAACCCTCAAAACACACAACAGCAGAACAATGTACAGCAAACAGCAAGACTTCATTATGAACAACAATTTGTCTTATGACTGACATTTCTGAATGACACTGGAGATCCATTGCACATAAATAAAAACTTATGTGTTGAACTTGCTGATCATGGCACAGGCAACCTCCAAAATACAAAAAAGTTCATTCTAGGATAGCCACAGAATTACAATCAAAGAAAACATTTTTGATGATCTTTAATTACACTGTAAGCTTTTTAAATTCAGAATATGCTGATCATTTGGTATAACTATCAAACAGAAGTATTTTGAAATAAGTCTGTTTTACCAGAAAATGTCCTGAGTTTTCCTAGCAGCAGTGAATCTTACTTAAATAGGCCCTGTAAGCGCCACTTACCCATCTGGGATGGCTAATGAACATATATCTAGAGAATCCTTAATGACAAGACCCAAGAGCTGATGCCATAATAATTCTGTAACAGGCTAACATACAGCCTCATAGTAAATTTTCACTTTCTGACCCAGCTCAAAAATCTAAAATTCCTTGTCTTGGCTTCAAGAAAGACAAATCTATCTTCTCTCTAGCTGGCAGACACATTAGAGAAAGCCACAGCCATGTGGTGAGGAATTATCCTTGCCATGGAGCTACACAACTGAGTGAAGCAGACCTTAATGGTCCATAACAATTCTGATCCAGGCCTGATAGTTTTCTGAGAAATAACTATTTGCCCTATGTAAAATTCTGCCAAGCATTCTGCAATATTGTATAAAATTTCTGATTAGAGAAATAACTGTGGCAGAGAATATTTGTTGGAATTATTTAATTTATTATTATGGACAGTCTTTTAATAGTCTAGTGAGTGCAAAGTGTCCTGGATCTGCTGTGAAAGAGACAAGGATCAATACTGGCATATCACCCTTGATTGGGACTGCCTCCAAACACAGAAACAAGCAATCCTTGTCTCATCCTTAAATGATACTTAATCAGTATCCACAAATAAGCCCATGCCAAATTTTGTATTTTTTGCTGGCAATAATGAAGGAATTTAACAGACAGAAATATGTTGTGAGAACTGTTGATAAATATTTCCATGTTATGGAATCTTGTGCTTTTGCCATGACATGAGATGGTGTAGGGAAGGGAGACATATGACAAGGAAGCAGGGGAGGAGGCAGATGCTACTCCTGATGATGTGCTCATAGTGATGATATGGGTTAATGGGAAGAGACAGTATGATTGCAGTTGAAGTGAACGTATCACAGCACTAAAACTGCCAGCACAGCAGCTGGTCTGACCAAATGCTGGAAGGTAGGGGACCAAGTGCCTGAGTCTTCTGGGATGCCAGGAAAAGCCAAGGTACTTCAGAATTATGCATATATGTACTTTAATTCTGCCTGCAGTGGGATTTGCAAATTTCTTTATTGCATAATGGCATTGCTACTTAGCTTTTTAAATGTGTCATGTGATGCTTCATGACTGGAATTCCCTTTTGTGCATGGACTTGTGAAAAGCTCTTCTTGAGATGGGGTGCTATTCTTTGTAACTTCAGTTTATTTATTTTCTTAAATCAGAAATATTTTCCATAACTTTATTCACCTTATTTGCTTATTTTCTCACCATAAGAATGAATATTTATAGCAAGCCATTTACCAAAGATCGTTTAACTCACAGACGTTGGTTTCAGCCTTTTTTGAATAGCTACACAGAACATTCTAGAGAGGCACATGTAAGCTCTTGTGGAGATCCAGGTTCAGTTCAGAAGGGCCATTTCTTAAGTTCCTCACATGTCTGATCATAGCTAGCAAGTTCTTTTATTTGAGCACATGGTATAAGGCTGGGGTCATGCATAGGACTGGGTAGGGTAGTGTAATGCTTGGCAAAAATTTCTTCATGCTCTGCATAGAGGAAGCAAGTCTGATAACCTGCCCAAAATTAGCAGTTTGTACACAAAATACCTCATTTCAGAAGCACTGCTGCACTCACTGATAGTCTGGTAGCTTGTCTAAAATGGCACTGTCCTCTCTATTCCAGAAAAGGCTTTCTTTGCACTACAGTAATCAGGTGCAGGCCCCAAATACTGCTAGTTGGTCACACTGAGATGGGAGATGGCCTCTCTGATGATAACTGCTTTCCCTTTCTAGAAACAGCACTTTATGGAAGCAGTGCCATGATCTCAGCCTCCCTGACAGGAATGCTGAAGTATCTCCTGGTGAGAAAGCCAAGTTCTCCATGATGTAGAAAGAGGGCACCAATATTCTTGTACCTATGTGAACTACTTGTGAAGATGGCAGCCTTCTACACATGTAGAGTGTGTACTAGGTCTTAGTGGCAAGGGTTTGTGGGATGGAATGTCTCCAGAAGTGGGAAATGGTTGGGGCTGCCCTGTGCCAGACACAGACAGTTCCAGCCAGATCCCACATTACCTCTGAGCCATGCAGCTGAGCTGGTAGCACCTCTGGGAAACTATTTAACAAAGGGTAAAATGCAGAAGAACAGAGACAATAGTAAGGAAAACAGTGACTCAAAAATCAAATGAACCTCAAGATCAATCAAGAAGGTGATGAACAATTTGTTTGTCTTTGTTTCTCATTGCCTGAATCTATTTTAATAGGCAATACATTTATCTAAGTTTCCCCATGCTGCCTCTGCTTCGGCCATGATGGAAATTCATAGCTAATCTCTTTTGACCTAAGAGCTTTTTTGTTCTATTTTCCAGCCATATTCTGTTGAACAACAGGGAGTGAGAGAGTGTCTGAGTGGGAGTTTGGCTCTTAGTTAAGGTTAAAGAAAGACAGGCAATACAGTTCAAGTATGCGATGTCAGTCTACAAGATGAGATACAAGTTCTAGTAGGATTATCATAGTAACAAATGAATATGTCCAGTAACACAGACACTACTGATAAGATGCTACTATAGATTGCCAAAATCATGTTTAAGCTTGGACACAGTTATCCAAGGCACTGTCAGTATCATTTTAGAGTTGTCCGATGATCTAATAGGAAAAGTAGGAAGACCAAATCTGAAGATTCATTTTAAGAAACACTGACCATATATTAGCAGATGAAAATGATAAGCAGTAAGCACTGAAAGAAAAGTTTTAGTATAAAATGTATAGTTCAGTGTAACAGAGGCCTGTCAAGCTGGCTTTTGACAGATATAAAAATGATTAAATGATTAAACTCTTGTAATAGCAAGATATAAAATATGACACCTGTGAGTCTGTTGAAATTAGGAAAAAAAGAAGTAAATAGTTGAACCCAACTTAAATAAATAAAAATCAATCCGAAGAATGAGATCTATTTCAAAAGTTTTTGCTTATTTTGAAGAGAAAACAAACTGTTAATATAAACTAGTGCAAAATTATTTAATGTGATGAAATAAACTTATTTATTATGAACACTTTTCTACTCGCTTGATCACAACTGTGCAACTTGAATATTTTATCTGCTAACCAAAAGAGCCCCAAACTTCCCTGATTTATATTTCTCATACAACTTTTAATATTGCTACTGTTAAACTACTCAGTTGCCAACATAATTCTGCTGACAAAACCAATCAAAATAGTAGATTAATTTATGAAAATATGTAATTAATGTTATCCATTTGTTTGGTAACTGTCCTCAAAGTACCTTTCAGTGTAAATGTATGATTCAAATGTTTGCAAACACTATTTTATTATATTCAGGCAAAGCTTCTATTAAAAAACCTTCAGCTATCACCCATGAGTATACTGCATTTTAATGATTTTTTTCAGTTTTATTTTGAATACATTATACATAAGCAGCAAGGCAGTATGCATTTGATTCTTATATGTTAAACAGCAAAGCAGACAGACAATTTTCTATTTCTTCCTGTAAAGCACTCAAGAACTGAATTCCTATTCCTGTCACTGTCAGCTCATTACAAGAATACTGCAAAGAGGAAAACAAATTACTCCTATTCACTTATTTCCTCTTACCTAATGGGAGCTTTAAAAATGATGGAGCTTCCCTGAGGTATTGAACTGTGATGGTAACTTCATCGCCAGCATTTCGCAGCAGGTGTACCTGTCAGCGTGACAAATAACAACTACTTTAAACCAAAGAACCATCAGTCACGGAAAGCACATTACTTACAATGAAATCAACATTCCTGTTGATCTATAATAAACTCAGTGTAAGCATTTATGACTTAGAATGTAAAACAGCTTGAGGATCAAGCCACACCAACAATGGAAAGGAGTAGACAAGACCAGTGGAATAAGCTGAATAAATAATTTTCTGCAGAACCTGATATTACATACCAGCTGAACGCAACTTCCACTAATTGATTTTATAAAATTGACATGGGGTAATAGGGAAATATGTGTTTATTTAGATATAATACATTAATTTTGTCTGCATACAAACAGAAAGACATACGGAAATATATATTAATACATCGTACACATCTTGGTTTTAAGTATTTGGTTTGATTGATTTGGGCAACAAATTAAGCACGTTTTTGTGTTTCAAATACAGTATTTTGTTTTGTGTCTTTACTGTCTATAAGTATTTGTTAAGCAAAAGGGAACACATACACACACACACACACACAAATAGACATGTTTTAAACCATCAGGATTCACTTTGGAGCATAGCACACTACCACATCAAGTGTTTTTTAAATGCAGAACTACAAATAATATCTCTGATGGACCTCAGTTCCTGCTACAGGGCAGAGGTATTCCTCAGTTTCACATCCATGACTCTCAGGAAATAGGAAATGCACTTGGTTTGCATGTGGGCTGTACACACAGGGTCTGCATATCCCTGATCCAATCTGTCAGAAATGGATGCTCCAGCTTGTGGTCTCGAATCTGCACACAACCAGAGCATTCATCCACCAAGCAGAAAAGTAACAAATTGCAGAAAACTGACTTATATAGATGCATTTAATGGTTTAATGTACTGGGAGGAAGTTGGTGATTGTGTTATTCCAGACCACTGTTTTAGCACAATGCCACATTGGCCAACATCATGAGATGCAGGATTACCTCAAACATTTTATGATTACCACTTGTGTACCTAAAATAAAGCTTACACCAGAGACTGATGTACCCACATGAAAATTTCAAGCTTATGTCTGATAGAAACCAATTTTTTAATTCCACCCCTCTCTCCCCCCCAGTTCAATCTGCTTTTAAATTATTTACTATGAAAAATGCAACACCCAGTGCTACATACTCAACACCAGAAATCTGAGTGTTGTGGTTTTTTGACTACTGACTATAAGAGAACCTGAGGTCTCATTGTGGGAAAAAACACTGTGAGAAAAATAATATGATTACTGATTTCTGACTAAATCATTTGAAGATGGTCACAACAGGAATAAACAGGAATGACACTGTAGCAAACTTTGCATGCTTCTTTAAGGTCATACGAAAGTATGTTAGGGCTGCAAAGCAAACCAATCTGTCTTAAATTAGAAGGTGCAAGAAAACTGTGTCTCCTGAAATCCTCCACCCCTCATTTCCTGCAGGAAATTTCCTATTTCCTAATTTAGACATTTATTACTTAATACACACTGAAGATGACTGGTAGCTTTGCTAGTCTCACTCTACTGTTACAGACAGGACAAGCAATACATTCCCATTCAAATTAAACATGTCAGAAAGTATCAGGGCAGGGAGAAGTCACAGTTGGCAAAAAAATACATGATACTGTTACTAAGTACTGCTATACTTGCAATACTATTTTACTTTTCATTGCATGCTAAATCTATTAAAAATGACAACTTTAGTTCATAATCAGTATAGAAGAAAAAAAGTATATTGCAAAAATTAAATAGAAAATTTCAAAACCAACAAATTTTAAATGTAGTCATGATACTGTCCTAATATATCTAGTGGGAAGAAATATAAACCAAATAAAAATTAATACTGAGAACTTACCTTCTTTTTACAATTGTCTTATTGACAAATGTTTTTTTAAACAAGCCAAAAAAGTGAAGTACTTTAATTTTACCTTTGGAATACCAAGAAAGAACTTTAATTTCTCAACAGAAATAAACCTTTTGCAAACACAGAACAAATATGTTTCCTCTTAATTATGGAAAAAATATTTGCACACAAACATTTATATTTGTCAAGCAAAGAGAGGAGACAGTATGACTGATATATTGCCTAATGTACTTTTGGAAGACATTAGTCAAATTTTACAAAGAGAAATCCAAAAACTGTTACAACAACACAAAACAGTAGACAGAAAGTGTTGCAGAGTATGAGATTGCAGTTTTCATTTCAAAATATATTTTGAAAAGGAAATAACTCTACTATTAATGATTTAGTTTAAAATTCTCAAGCATCAGTACTACCTTAAAAGATATTCACACTGTATCATACTCTTTGGAAGCTGCTTAGTATTCTTTGGATAGTGGCGGAAGAGGTCAGAGTGTTGAACCATACACATACCAACAAAACTAAATCAATTTCAGTGATCACAAGAAGGTCTTAACAGTCAGAAGGTCACTAAATAATGCACTGCTCTGTGATGCTGAAGCTTTGACAAAAGACCACTAAGTCCAACAGAGATAATCCAGTACCTTTGGAGTAACATTTTTACTGTTACACTGTTACAGTAATAATATAAAACAAGGATTGCAGAAGTGAGTGGGTTTTGGTGTTTTTTAAAAGGTTGACTAAATACATTTAGCGCAGCTAAATCTGTGTGTGTATGTGTGTTTATGCACTTACTCATGTATAAAGGAAAAAGGACTTCAGCAGAAATGCTTGCTTCTCATGCTGGCTTCAGTTTGCAGTTTGCGTATCTCTAAGTGAATTTATCACTCCAGGACTTATTACACTTCTCGTATGCATTGTTCAAGAACAGAGCAATACTACAAATATAAATAGGAGATTCTGTATCTCAATTAACTACAGTACAGAGTCTGCAGAGAAAAATATGGCTCATATTGTCGGAAAATCTAATGACCTTTGCCATCTAATTTTTACTGTCAACACACAATTTAGAGAAATGCTGTATACCTCTAAGCTAACAAGACAATGGCACAATGCATAGCTGCTGTGCACTCTTTTTAAATTCTAGTTTACTTACCTTGTGTTTACTGTGATTTGTTCTAAATCTTAAAGCATCCCTGAACATTAATATTCACACTGCTCAAAGATTTAAACAAGGCTCTGGCTGTTTGAAACAGGTTTTGTCTTATCAAGAAGAACAATTAAAACTGAAATGGAGAATGTTTTTGATGAATGAATTGACCCATATTGCTCTTTAGCCAATACCTATTCTATGTGCAGAAGTTAAATCATTTCACTTTGGCCATTTAAAAGATTCAACTCTAAAGTATTTGCTAATACATTTTCTAGAAAACAGTAAAGATCTTAGGATACAGAGAAATCCTTATCCACAGATAACATATCCTTACATAGAGAGAATCTAGATGATAACCTTATACTTTAAACATATGAAGTTAAATTAATCTTACCTTGCATGTATTGAAGAATATTTAAGTACCTAACTCAGACTAAAAGTCTGAAGCAAAAATTCTGAAGTAGAAGGATGTGAATCACCTGATGAATGTTGAGCTTGAGGTACAAAAATTTCACAAATAAAAAACTTGAAAGTCACTTGAAGTGTAAGTCTTGCACTTGACAAGTATCTGGGTTGAAGGTTATATACAAGCCTGCAACAAAGCAGGCAAACAACCAAAATGTAGTAAAATATATGAAGAATTAGACCATAACACATAATAGTAAAAAAAACCAAAAAAACCCCCAATGAAATCTAGAGAACTAAAAATTTTTAAAAATTCTTCGTTTTCAGAAAGAACAATAGTATTTAACACTTAAAATGCCTCCTAGGCAAAAGTATACTTGGCAATTTAAGAAACTTGTCCGTTTCAGCTTAAAGCATATGAACAGTGCTAAAAAATCTGGTATGCCTATGAGTAGGCAAGCAAAATGTGTGATAAACAGACACCTTGCAGTACAAGTAGACTTTAAGATAACAGTAGACACAAAATGTTTTTAAAATTAAAAATGGATTGCAATTCATATTGGAAGAATATGGAGCAGAATTAAGCTAGTTCAAGAAACAGTGATTTCTTGATACTTGTCTCCTTTCCAGTGGCCAAATATGGAGTGTTTTCAAAGAAATACTTTTGATTCTTCTCTTCTTTAGCTTTGCACTATTCAATAAGCAATAATGTCTTTCTAAACTCTTAGCTGCCTAATTCAAAGCAAGCATTTGTCCGAACAATTTACACAAATATGCTAGGAAAAATGGCAGTCAATGCAGCATGGAAATTTTCACAGACTTAAACTAAACTGCAGCTTCTCTTAGTTTACTCAATCCTCACTCTTCTCTAATTTCTGCCTATAAATATAGAAAATGACATTTCTACAGATAGCTTCAGTATCAATTTAAACAAATAATTCTTCTTCTGTATGATATAAATATTAGGCATTATGGACAAAAAAATATATTTTTTTTCATTATTGTGTACATTATTTTTCTATTTAATTACACACTCTTGAGTGTAATTAGCACTGTGTAAACAATGCTTGCAAAACTATGTGGAATATGAAAGACACTGTTACACACTGCTTGCAAAACTATGTGGAATATGAAAGACACTGTTACACACTGTGCACTGGAAAATAAATTTTGAGTCAACTCAGCTGTTCCCTGAAGCAATTAAAGTTTAAATAAATTTGCTTAAGGATAACTATTACCGGAAGCATGAAGATCCATTTCTGATAAAGTAACTTTGCCATTTTCAAAAAATCCCAAGAGTATCAGAGCATTATGGGGACTTCTCTCTGGTAATGCAGGTCAGTCTTAACTGTAATAGGTATACTATAAATAAAAAAGGTTCAAAGCCACAGAACTTGAAATTAAAGAAAAAGCAGTATGTTTTATTGCTTATCTACTGTTATGCATTACTTGTAAAAAGAAAGAATTGTATAAGGCACCAAAAACTCGCAACAGACAGATACACATATCTGACTACGTGCAATTGGAAATGCATATGGTAAACTGGAATCAGTATCCACAGAATTGTAAAT